GCTAACGCTTCTTTTAGTGAGTTGGGTGCCTGGCACTCAGCCACTGGGGACTGATTAAAGGTCGACGGCTGCGGCAGCGCCCTCTGTTGTTGCTGCGGTGATCGCTGCAACGAGCAGTGATGCCAATTTGTCCTTTTTCCGGACAGATCTGTCCTGTTTTTAAGGGCTTTATCCGGAAAAAATATCAAACATCCTCTATCCGGAAATCTGTCCTTTTTTTGTGAATGCGAATCGTGTTCATATTTTCCCAGTTGGATGGTTGTTTTTCCTGTTTGCAACAGATTTCTATTAATTAACATTACCGAACAGTTGAACTGAACTTTAGCATAAAATATACTAAATTGTGTACCGATATTTGTTTAAGAACAGTGGCAAAATGAGTATAACAGTGATAATTGAAGTGCTTAGATGCCTTGTATGCATTATAGATATCGTTTTTAATTGCTTTTTAAATTGTGCTCCATGCGAAAAGTGTAATAAAATGCCTAAAGAAACGTATAGGCAAAAATTTCAAGATTGCTGGCTACAACAGCCAGATTTTAAGTCGTGGATAGCCCGCGATGAAAACGACTATAAAGCGTACTGCAGAATCTGTAAATGCAGTATTAATTGCAAAATCGATTAAATTCGCGCACATATCGATGGCCACATACAAGGCTAGTGAAGAGGACACGGATTGGAAACTTGATAATGCCTTGAAATGTTTGGAATAAAAAAAAAAGCCACAAATTAAGAAAAAAAAATTTTTTTGTCCTGTTTTCTGTCCTTTTTTTAAATTTTCATCCTTTTTTTTCGTATTTTCCGGACATATTTGCCTTTTTTTCCAAAAAAAATTGGCATCACTGGCAACGAGGAACGTGTGTGTGTGTGTGTGTCTTGTGTAAGCAGAAAGACGCGTAAAATGATTGAAACAGCTATTGCTCGAAGGGTTCAGGGGATCTCGTAGTCGGGCAGTCTCGACTAGAGCTTTCTTACTTGTTTTAATTGAAGTCTCTAGCTCTTATAACTTCTGAGATCTAAGCGTTCATACGGGGGGACAGACAGAGAAGTCTATATCGACTCAACTCGTCCTGATCAAGAATATATATACTTTATGGGATCTGCGATGATTCCTTCTGCCTGTTACATACTTTAAACAAAACCATTATACCCTGATTTCCCATTTTCAATATTCAACATTAAAGGCAGTTTATTAATTCAAGTAATTATCCGCCAAATGCTCAATTTTTTTCTATTTTTTTTGTTTTGTGATAAGTTAGATTAGATAATTATGTAATAATTCATTTACAATGCTTCTGACATTAATTGTTATTGTGTTTTACCAGAACGTTTAGTATTTACAGATATAGTACGATTTTTAAAAGATCTAAGCCATTTTTAATTAACAAAGAAAATAATAAAAATACTTTTTTAATTTAAATGAAACCCTTTTTCCTTCGTTGCTGTTAATAATCGATCCTTCATAATTTCCTCAGATGGGTAGTCCGGAAGCTTAAGGTAATGAACGCAAGTATTCACAGATGGATAACTTCCTTGTCCAGCATCCACTTTTCTTACGACTGTAAGCCTAGGATGTAAATTAGCCAATCCTCCCGGAGGCAGGCTACTACAGCCCGTAGTAAATTGCAAAAATGCTTTCCGTTCAGCGCCCGATAAGCTCAAAAGAACATTAACAAAACGCAAAAATCCAGGACTACAATAACAAAAATTAATTAGGACTAAAATAACAAATTGATGTTTGAGCCTTACCTATCCTTGGAATAGCCTAATTTGGGCTCAGTGTAAGCCATTAGGTCCTCGCGACTCCATTGAGGACATTGCTCTCCACATATCATCATTCTAGCTTCAGACGGGTTAAATGCGGCCAATTTATTTAACGGAAATACTTCGCAGAACCCATCATAGAATGCCTGCATTTGCTTTGCAATACCATCATGCAACATAAAGTTTACTAGCAATTCCCAATATGCTTCAAGGTTATTTATATTGACTTCAGTTAAATATCCATTTGGAATAAGCTCTGCGTATGCATATCCATACACAGATGAGCTTGGCAAATAAGTAAATGTGAGGCCTAAGTCTTCCAGAGATACTTCAATATCATTTTTAGTGCGCAATTTAAGATTATTGATCAACTTTTGTTTTTCCTCAAAGTTTAAAGTGTCATCTATATCAATAGCTTGTTTACGCATTAACAAGTCCTGTAGTTCAATTAAAAATTGATAACGTGTTGGATCAATTTCATTCAAGTTTTCAATATTAAGTATTCCATTGATCCAGTTGCACTGTGTAAGATCCCCGTTTAAAAATTGTGCATATATATTTGCAAGCTCGGCATCTTTTGAAACAACTGAGCTCGCCATCAGATCTTGGAAACGTGATTTTGATTTAAGCTTTAAATCATTTCGAGATAATACTTTGTTATGACAAAGTAATTGTAAAAATGAGTTGGACAAGGGCATATCAACAAGTCGCATATCCTGCAATACTTTAGCAATAAAAACGCCGAAAAACCAAAAGTATTTTGAAACCTGCTCACAGAGTTCTGAATCTTGTGGCAGGGGAGCTGGGAACAATCCGTGCTCGCGTCTATTTACGTAATATCCAATTGGTTTCGAACCATCTTCTATGTTGTGAAATTGAGGTTCGTTATGAGTTTCACTATATTCATCATCACATAGCCACATACATAAATCAGATCGTTGAATTTCTGCAGCTACTAAAGCATAGAATTCAAGTGTTGGCCCCAGCCCAGTTCCCTCTTCATCTAAAAACTCGACTTCTAGCACAGACTTTCGATTACAATGTGCCTTCATGACTTGAATAGCCCACTTAAGTAAATCTTTATTCCGTGGAACTTTTACACGCTCGTGTTTTAATCTACCAACACGGAAGTCATGTTGATCGTCTCGACGTGGACTCATAATGGGAACTCTTTGCCGTTCAGTTGTCATATCACGTTGAGATTGTAAGCAGACTATACTTCTGGATGCTCCAAATGCAGTACAATTAAAATATAATTGTCGAGTCTCGAACGGAAATAAAAAAGGACACGATTGATTTAAGTCCTCACACCAATTGGGCAGAGCGTTGCTTGAAAGAACAAGAGGATCATGAATTTGCTGCTGTAATTTATTTGTAATCTTTTTGCTCATAAATAGCTCAGCTGGTAAATATGAATCTTTTTGCAATGATGCGGTATTATCGTCGGATTCAATTTCATATTGATTTAGTGTGTTTATTTGTGTAAGTAGCTCTAAAACATCCTCTACTGAGCATAGGTTATTATCAGTTATGCCACCATGGACTGGGGAATTCGGCGATAATGTCGAAGCACCACTTCTCGATGAAACTCCTGGTGTTTTTTGTCCTTCAGATTCGATATATGAACATTCCTGAACAGTTGGATATGTTTCACGATAAATAATTGTATAGGTCGGCTCCCATAATTTGCGAAATTTGTCATTTTTGTTTATTTGACTGTTTTGTAATAGTTCTTGTACTGCTCTAAATATAGTCCACTCACTATTATCCAAATCAATTTCAACGTCAGGAATCCCGCCGACACCTGGCCCACGCAACTTTAAGCTAAGCTTTGTTTGCTCAGGAATTATTTGCCCACTTTGTTGAGAAGTTTCCAGATTTGTGTCTGGTGGACAAATTTCCAAATCGGAAGTCTGATTGACATTTGTACGACCTGGTCTAGGATCAAAAGCTGGTATCAAGGCTGAAAATTGTCTTTTTAAAACAAATTCATCATCCCATGATTTACGCTTGCTTACACCTGCTAATCTATTTTCCAGGGACTCATCATCCATAAATGTTAAAAGGTTACGAGATACCATAACCTGTAAAAGTGTATTTCCTACTTCTTCATATTCGTCCTCGTTTTCTTCCTCATCATTTTCTTCTTCCATATCATCTTCATCTTCCATATCGCCCAGCAATGTCGGAGCTCTACAACTTTCTAAAAAGTCTTCTAAGGAAACTTGTTCGCTATCACTTGATGTAGAAGTTAAACTCATTGTTAACGTTGGATTAATGGACGAAGTAGGTTGCTGACCAACTTTTTTATTAGTTGGATTCGATGAAGCATTTTCTCCATTGTTAGATGAGAGGCTAGGATAACTTTGCGCTGTACTTAATAATCCAGAATGGAAATTGCTAGATAGAGCTAGTTTTACTAAGCTTGTTACGGAGTTAGGTCCTCTGGCAAAAAATGAACCTGTTCCAACGTTTTGATTACTATGCTCATTTTTATTAGCAATTGCATTATTTGACTGATTTGCATCATTGCTTGTGTCTTGTGAAGTTCTACGACGTGCAATAGCTGTGAATGTTTCTAATAGACCAGTATGAACAGCAACTTCTGATGTCGATGATACTTCAGACGATGTTGTTAAATTGGGCACACTGATACTCATTTGGTTAGGAACGGAGACAACTTCATTTGTAACCTGGGGGCTTATAATGTTCTCGATTTGACCAGGAAAAGTTGATGGTTGTGGAGCTTCTGAATTAGAAAGGTTTTTATTTGGAGTGGAGGAATTCACAGATTCGTTACCTACACCATCTAATATTTCAGATTTTTGAGAAGTTTCAGGTTGTATTAATACCGAGAACTTGGCATTTTCCTTTGGAGCTGCTGACACGCTTGATCGAGGTATGTGTGATTCATCTGCAGACAGTATATTATTAGTATTGTTGCGTAACATGTCTACACCATCACGCATTTTATCAATAATATCTCGAGGTTCTGTAGGAAACTGAGAAAGACAATGAGAACTAGCTGAATTAATCTGCCTTAAATTTATCAAGAGTCCTTTTGCCAAATTATTGACAGAGTTATTTACATTCATTTTATTGTTTTCTTCTATATACGGCTTTCGTTTCACGTCGTTTGATACGATAGAATTATTTTCACTTGATTTATGTTCAGTTTGATTTGTGCTGCTACTTTCTTTTGAAAGCTCAACAATTGACAAATTTTCTGAAATTGTAGCCAAGTCTGACACATTGTTTAAGTTAATCGCAGGCATTGAATTATTTATTGTAGATAAGTCCGCAATGTGTTGTAATTCACGAATTAACGGTGATGGAATATTCGATGTTACCAGGGAAGGTTGATCGCAGATTGCCTCTTTGAATATAGCTTGTGTTTCTTTTACTGAAGCGGTGCTCGACTGATTTGTTGCTATGTGAGTCTTTGCTGAGGTAAATACATTTTCTGTTATGGTCTCTACAGTTTGTTTCCATGCTAGGTTATCAGCTGAAACAGTTTGATTGGATGTATCCTCAGAATTTTTATTTATCTCAGTAGCTTCAGGAAGCGATGGGGTTGAACTAGATTTTCGAGAAACTAACACGTTTGTCTTATCCATTTTTTTAGGTCCTGAAGAAACTGGTAGCATTGAATTAACTCCTTCAAAAATAGAGGCATTCTCCAAGTTAGCTAATTTTAAATCGTATTTACCTTCTGCACCCATACGATAGGAATTTCTTACACCATGGTCCCATTTAACATCAATCCATCCATTGTGAATTTCTCCAGTGACAGTACCTTCGCCAGACCCATCCTGATCTTCCCAACGCCAATCAACTCCGCGAACTACTCGTGCTCCACTGGTAATGTGTTTGAGTTGAGCTCGAATTTGACGTCTTTCTCTGCGTGTTTTCGCTTCCGCTTCTTTAATGGTTTTACCTATATCATCACAAACACCTACGACACGTCCGTAAATTTCAAATCCACTTAAGCTCAAATAATGAGTTTGATTAGAGGCGTTACGACCATTTTGTTGGATTTTTATGTGGCGATATCCTTTTGTATCATCAGAAGAACATATTATGGGCCATGTGGCTGTACTACCTGGCTCTGACAAACTCTTATCATCAACATGATTTATGAGTGTAGTCCAGTTAATTCCGTCTTTTGATGCTTGCAAATGCCAATTTCTTAGCGCGGAGCGACCGTATCCTCTAGCATGGCGCAAGGTGTAAGCGGTAGGTAGAATATATACTCCAAGATCTATTGAAAACCAAGCCTTCTTATTATCTTTTGTGTGGCAATTGAGGGAAACGCCGTCACGTGACAGTATATCTTCTAGTTTTCCATAGGGCAAAGTTTTACCCTCAGAACTTGTAACTTGCACCAGACCGTATTGCGCAGGATTGACCCACTCACACGTTTTTCCATTTGATCCAATGTAGTAAATTAGGCCCTCTTCATCAAAATCAAAATTGTACGTAAAGGAAATACCTTGTTTATGTTCACGCATCTGTTTTAAGTATAAAAATGTAGATCGATCGAGGTCATACCATTGCTTGGCAACCATTTTTAGCAAGTATTTTGCGAGTTGTCCAACTGTTGCCAAGGGTTCTACTTTTAATGTCCGACCCGTTCTATCAAAAAGAGTACTCTCAGAAGGCGCACGTTCCAGTCGAAAGCGAAGTCGTTTTTGAAGTATTTGTAATCCGTAACCAGAGCCAGGAGCATCATACAGGAACAATGGAAATTTTTCAGTACTTTCTAAGACAGCGACAAGTTTTTGTATGAGGATGCTTGCCGTATTTTTTGTATTATATATATTGGAGTCATCGCATTCTCCGAAAATACATTTTTTAAATATATCAATGCGGTCCTTTAGCATTTTATTAGTTTTGCAACGTGACAAATTGAATTCCCAATAGTTATTAGATAAAACTGAAACCAAAGCTTGAACAAGGCCGGAAGAATGCATTTCATATGCACTTACAACACCATCTTCATGAATTAACTTTGAAAGACTGGTTAATGCCGTCACCAACGTGTTTGACCATTTACTATTAGAAGCCACACGTTGTTCTTCAATAGCGAGATTGATTTGCTTCACAATAGCAGTTAGCTTTGCTACTGCTCCACGCGGTATTACTTGAGCGGACTTAAAATATTTATTATAAATTTCACGAGATAGGTTTGACACTTGAACTTTCTGTATATCTGTCTTTGATTTGGAACGTTTTTTTTTCTCAGTGGACCATCCTGAAGCAAAATCGGCACCTAAGGTTGTTTCAGCTGTAAACGAATGTTTTGTTCCTCTGTTACTTTCAAATATAAAGCCTTGAATATCATCTTGTAGTATAGTAACTTGATGACCTTCTGTATTGTGAATTTGCAGCTGATTAGGTTTATGAGATTGCAATACCCAATTTCCAACAACAAGTCTTAGTACACATACATTTGGCAAGATCGGCTGTGATGGCGTGCCTGGACTTACGCTAGATCGAGCTCGAACTAGTTTTTCCAGGAACTCCCCTCGATTTTCTGAAAGAAAAAAAAAAAGTATATATATATATATATCGATAAGTCATATACAGTGAGTAACATTAAGAGTCTGCCCAACTCCTCTGCATCCTTCGAAAGATCGAGATGAGTTATCGATTTTTAGTGATAAACTCGATATCCGCGCTGTAAATACGGACATTTAAAAAAATTGAAGTCTCTAGCTCTTATATCTTCTGAAATCGACGCGTTCAAACATACGGACAGACGGACAGACTGACAGGGCCAAATCGACTCAGCGCGTCGCCCTGTGGGGTCTGCTACGCCTCCTTCTGCCTGTTACATACATTTCAACAAAACCATTATACCCTGATTTCCCATTGAAAATGAGTTCAGATTATGATTATAACATGGATATGCATGTATTTGCCAAAGCACAAGTCTCTAGTATTTGAAATACGCCTTTTACAAAAGTGAGGGTGAGGGGGTGAATATAGGGGTGGGGGTAAATTTTAACAAAAACGGAACTGGTTTTCGATAAGGTTTTTTATCGATAAAAAAGATCGGGATGAGTTATCGATTTTTAATGATAAACTTGATATGCGCGCTGTAATTACGGACATTTAAAAAAAAATTTGAAGTCTCTAGCTCTTATATCTTCTGAAATCGACGCGTTCATACATACGGACAGACGGACAGGGCCAAATCAACTCAGCTCGTCACCCTGATCAAGAATATATATACTTTGTGGGGTCTGCCACGCCTCCTTCTCCCTGTTACATACATTTCAACAAAACCATTATACCCTGATTTCCCATTGAAAATGGGTTCAGGGTATAAAAATTTGAAGTCTCTAGCTCTTATATCTTTTGAAATCGACGCGTTCATACATACGGACAGACGGACGGACAGACAGACGGACAGGGCCAAATCAACTCAGCTTGTCGCCCTGATCAAGAATATATATACTTTGTGGGGTCTGCCACGCCTCCTTCTCCCTGTTACATACATTTCAACAAAACCATTATACCCTGATTTCCCATTGAAAATGGGTTCAGGGTAAAAAGAAGGGCAAATTTGATTACATTTTAAATAAAAATTTAACCACTCGGTTCCTGTGAGGATAATTCGTTATCAGAATATTGATTTGATGAAGATTCAAGTAGAGTCGGTAAACTAGCAAGCGATTCGTCTTCATAATCAGTACAGTAGCGTTTGAAGCTGCTTGCGTTTCGTTTTCATCTTCGTCTTCGTCTCAGCGCGCAGCCTTGGAATATGCAAGGCGCTCTTTTGTCTGTACGCAGAGAATAAACGATGAATGTATGCGCAAGGATAGGAAAATAGCCCTGAACTTTTATCTTAGAGCTGGTAATCAAAATATACCAAAAATCGAAATTGTATAAATTATACATGTAATTTGAATATCCGAGCTACAAAGAAGTACTAGATATAAAATGGAATAGCTATCGATGATTTCTCAATTTTAATGAGATTAGGCCCTACATTTTGTTGCGTACTAGTGACTTGAAAATTGCACTATATATTCGGGTTGACTGCGTTTGCAATTTGAATGAGTATTCTGCTATCGGTCACGCCCGACTGAAATCGTTCATACTTGCTTTTGTATTAATAATGTATTTAGATTAAATCTTAAGTACATTTTAGCGTAAATAGTGAACGTTCTTCGAAAAAAAGTATGCGCAACATTGTTTATATTTACCTGAGCTGTCATTTCCATTTTCGGGGCTTCCGCTTGAGTACATTGTAGCTAATTTTCCGTCAAGTATAAAGCGAAACCAGCCATTGGAACCATTAGAAAGCTCTAATGCAGCGGAATCTGACCAAACGTATAAACAATCTCTACCTCGACAAATGCTCCAGTCCCGCCAATGATAGGGTTTGCCTTGCAAAATTTCTTTAGCATCCTCCACTAAATCATCTGCGAACAGAAATATAATAATTAGGCATTCTAATTAATACAAAAATGTAGTTCTAAGGCTACCTGAAACTGATCTACTCGGCATACAATAGGTTGATCCTTTTTGTGTTGACGAAAACTCTGGGGAGCCTGACGCGAATTGTGATGAATTGTCTCCGCTTTGATCCATCAAGGCTTGTACTTTAGAAAATACTCCCAATCGCGCAAAATGCTCAATAAATTCCTCTTGCGTCTTACACATCAGCTCCTCAATAATGTTCAATATAATTACGTGACCATCTTCATCATCCTAAATAATAATAAAAAAAAAATTAAATAAATAATAAGAGAAATGTAACTGCTTCAAAGTTTAAACAAACTTATATTTTTACCTCGCTGTCCAAGACGCTTGCGATAACTTCAGTTAACAAGTTTCCAACACTTTGAATGGCTATTGAAGTTGTGGGCTCATCATGCTTTCTACAAATATTTTTAAGAACTGAAGGATGTGCATACTGAACAATCTTTTTAATTAGACTCAGACTAGCTCGTCGAACACTAGGAAGCATAGAACCCTGAAATGTTCGACAGAGTATGGGCAAAAGTAGTTTTAAATATACCGGTGCCATTTCAGGATCACCGCGCGGTTCTAGAGATGTGTATATTTGTCCTTCCTTATTTGTCAGTATATTTCCAGAAGACATCCATTCACCAGGAGATTGCAAAATTGCAGCAACTTCGCGGTGGCCATCATCTGATCGTTCACGCGCTTTATCAAGAGGTGTTTTTCCATCTTCATCGCGTAAATCTGGATAAGCACCAAATTTAAGTAAAATTTTTGCTATTCCGGGGCGACCGAAACAGGCAGCATAGTGAAGAGATGAGCTCCTCTGCCCTTTGTTCACATCCGCGCCCTTCTCACATAAATATTCAACCATCTCCAAAGTACCAAAAGCAGATGCCCAATTCAATAGGGTTTGCCCTACGTCATCCATACAATTTACATCAACACCGCAAGTTTCGATTGCCTCTTGCAAAGCTTCAGTATCTTTAGATCGTATGCAGTCTATAAGCTGGCGATGAGTACGATCAGTACTGGAGTCATTTCGTTTTGGTCGTGGAGCCAATTGGCCTTGATTACTATTAGCACTGCCCCTGTTTAATGCTTGCCGACCTTCAAATAAGAGGAGAAGTAATAGATCTGCAAATCGCATGCAATCAAGAACGCAGCGTTCATCCCCCTTTAGAGCTGTTTCAATAGCATTAGGTAACGGAGACCTTAAGATATCACGTGTTATAGAGGGTGAACCACGACATAATGTAGACAGCAGCGAAATCGTTGTCGATATTGATTGCGGCGACCGGAATTCATTTGATTGCATTTTTCCTGCTGCGTTCGATGATGATCCTGACACATTTTCATTAAGTCGGTCTGAATTTAGGTTGGCGGGTACAGGCCCACTTAATTTAGATGTAGATAAGGAGTGACTATTGGCGCCACCAGCATTTTCTAGACGTTTGAGCAGTTCAGCAACTAATCCATATTCAGCTAAAGGTGCAGGGTCAACCCATTTCCGTGTAAAGCGATCTGCAACAGATGCAAAGCATTTTAAAGCACCATCCGCTACCAGTGCATCTTCATGTTGTAATAAAGTGCTTAAACTTTCCACGCAGTTATCTATACATGGTGAATTGGGTTCCACTTTAGTGCAAAGTCGTGAAACAACAGACATGGCAGAATGTAGTGTGTCTTTATGAACTTGGGATCCACAATCCCGAATAAATGACAAAACACAATTTAAGCCGCTGCCCTCAAAAACTGCTCCTGCTTCTCTACTGCATATAAGTTCAAGAACTTTAATACACTGCTCTGCAAGATCACGCGATGTACGTGAAGATAAGTCGGCAACAACCAATCGGTTACAAATGGCCTTAATAGCGCCGTCGATGGAGACAATTCTTCGTGTACACTCCGCAGAAACATCTAGGTAATAGGTTATGGCGCGTGCAGTAACTTCAAGAACATTTTCAGGTGCAAGCTCATCCAAAAATATCTTGCATAAAGCTGGCAAAAATGTTCGAGGAGGACAACTGAAAGGAATTAATAACGATCACGTTAATATAACAAATAAATTTGTAGTCGGGCGCTACCGACTACAGAATAATCTATTACGGATCAAGCGCTGTTAGATTCAGATTCGTCATGCCCTCATATATATATATATATATATACACTGGTCAGACTATATATTTTGACATCATTTACATTTCACTATTAATCTTTTTTTCTAAGTACCGTTGCATTTAACAAAGTGAATAGACAAAATAAATTTCCGAAATATTTTGTCTATTATGTTTTGTCAGTTCATTCTGCTGATAACAAATGCCAGAAGCCAACGATTTTTACATCGGCATAAATATTTTGACATTTTTGTGTTTATCAACAAAATCTAATGATATTGTAAAAAAACGCAATTTTATTTGTTAAATTAATGGAAAATATACCCTCCTTTGGCATTTCTGGCCATTTGGAGGCGGTTCGGGAGAGAATCCACCAGATTTGCAGATGTTTTAATGGAATCCTTTCCCACTCCTTTGTGACCTCAGCGATCGTTTCAATTCTTGTCTTTGTCAGATCGGCGGGTCTATTTCGCTTTTTAAGCGACCAAACATTTTCAATAATCAAATTTGGACTTTGGGTTGGCCAATCCAGTGTTTTCACCCTAACTTCTCTCAAAAATGCTGTTATCATTCTCGCCTTGTGGCAAGGAGCGTTGGCCTGCTGCAGAATAAGTGCTCCGCCGATCAATCTGTCGCCAGATGGGAACGCAAAATCGTTTCCATCGTTTCGTTAAATATTGACCCTGGTTCATAGAACCGTCAATAGGAACCAAGCAGCCCACACCATTGTATGAGACGGATCCCCAGAACATCACGCTCCCAACCCCATGACTAACTTTTCGACACACAGGCGCTTTTTTTTACGAATTTCTTTGTCCAAGGGTACATAAACTTTCTTCTGCCATGAGTGGAACTCAAAAGTGCTCTCATCCGTCCATAGGACATTGCGCCAGAAGGATTCAGGCTTGTCAAAATACTTCTCCGCAAAATTAAGACGCTTAAGTTTGTTTTTAGTGGTGATAAATAGTGTTGGTTTAGCTATATATGTTTTCATATTTGCTAAAATTAAGCGCCTACGTATGGTCCTCTCACTTATGGGATTAGATGCGGTCCTATTCCACTCCAAAGCCACAGCTCTTGGTGTTATGAGAGGATTTCGTTTGAATTGGCGCAGGATCAGATGGTATTCATCAGCATTTGTCTTTCGTTTGCGTCCACTTCTGCGCTCATTGGTTAATTCACTTAATTTTTATACCCTGAACCCATTTTCAATGGGAAATCAGGGTATAATGGTTTTGTTGAAATGTATGTAACAGGGAGAAGGAGGCGTGGCAGACCCCAGGGCGACGAGCTGAGTTGATTTGGCCCTGTCCGTCTGTCTGTCCGTCCGTCTGTCCGTATGTATGAACGCGTCGATTTCAGAAGATATAAGAGCTAGAGACTTCAAATTTTTTTTAAAATGTCCGTAATTACAGCGCGCATATCAAGTTTATCATTAAAAATCGATAACTCATCCCGATCTTTTTTATCGATAAAAAAACCTTATCGAAAACCAGTTATAAAATTATATCTTCTACACCTTTATTGCTAGAGTCTCCAAATTTTTAATGTATGCTTATATGCAATTTATACAATTTCGGTTTTTGTTAAAATGTACCCCCACCTCTAAATTCACCCCCTCACCCTCACTTTTGTAAAAAGCGTATTTCAAATACTAGAGACTTGTGCTTTGGCAATTACATGCATATTCATGTTATAGTCATAATCTGAAAGTTCATTGTACGTCCATAAAAAAAGTTATTAAACAATTAAGTTCTCATAGTAAGCGCACACTGCAGCCCATGCGTGTTTATGCGTGGGTGCTTGTGTGTGTATGTGTTTGTGTATGTATGTGTATGTGTATGTATGTGTGTGTGTATGTGTGTGTGTGTGTATGTGTGTGTATGTGTGCGTGTATGTGAGTGTGTGTATGCGTTTGTGTCTGTATGCGTGTGTGTGTATGTATGCCTGTGTGTGCGTACATGCGTGTGTGTTTGTGTGTGTGTGCGTGTTTCTTGTGTAAGCTGAAAGACGCGAAAAATCATTGAAATATCTATTGCTCCAAGGGTTCAGGGGATCTCGTAGTCGAGCAGTCTCGACTAGAGCTTTCTTACTTGTTTATTTATTTATTTTATTAATTATTTATTTTATTTATTAATCTTAGTCTGAGGTGACAATTTATATTCCTTAGCGATATTTATAGCCGAAATACCCAAATACCCGACTGGGTAGTCATTTTCGCTTCGTTGAATGCAACGGTACTTAATAAAAAAGACGCCTCTTAACTTAAGACTTACTTAAGTACATTGTACGTTTTTGCAAAATAAGAGTTGCATTTGGGGTCAGTGTCCAAAATACTTAAAAACCCTAATTGTATCAAATTCTCACTTTATATGCAAAATTTGGACCCATTTTTATAGCTGATTTTACGTTAGGTTTCTTGTGGAACGGACAGATCAAACATACGTACAGACGGACGGACAGATATGGCTAAATAGATTATTTGTCGCCCTGATAAATTACACAAATACTTTATAGGGTTTACAACGCATCCTTCTGCCTGTTACATACATTTAACAAACCATTATACCCTGAATTTCCATTTCCAATGGGTTCAGGGTATAAATATGTATAATTATATATGAAAGCAATTGTGATTTCATTACAATATGGGAGACAACAGCAACAAGTCGTTTAAGTCATTAGATATTTTTAAATAAATAAGTATATAAAATAAACCTAAGCGATTAATTGTAAGTTCGCCGGCTTCTAGAAAATAAACTTACCTTTCGAAACATCGATCAACATTATCGGACATTAAAAGAAGCATACATAGCTGCTCTAATGCGATTAATTGCATGTCCCTTTCATCTCCTTGGCCCATCGATAACCATTCCAACAACGTTTCGGGATCAACATCGCCCATCTGAAAAATAAAATAATTTTATTAGCTGTACTAACAACTTTTAATGTGTAACAAATCTTAGAAGACATGTTGAAGTGATAGTTCCTATTCAGAGTACTACTTTGTTCAATGTTAGTTAGAGGCTCCAGTATGCGTATAGTATACCATTCTGTTAATGGAGCAGTGGCGAGCTATTATAGGTCCAATTTTCCCCTTTTAAACTATAGTTAAACATATAAACTATAGTTAAACTACAGATATATGTATAGTTTCCTTTTTCTAGTATTCATTAATAACACATAAATGTACTCAAAACAAGTAAGAAGGCTCTAGTCGAGACTGCCCGACTACGAGATCCTCTGAACCCTTCTAGCAACTGATATTTCAATAATTATTCGCATATGCATACATACACGCACACACACAGACATAAACACGCATCGGCTGCAGTGTTAGCATACTATGGGAACTAAATTGTTTAATAACTTTTCTTGTGGATGGACTATCTTCATGAAACTATAAGATTACGAATATATGTGTATTTGCCAAAGCACAAGTCTCTAGTATTTGAAATACGCCTTTTACAAATGTGAGGGTGAGGGGGTGAATTAAGGGTGGGGGTAAATTTTGACAAAAACCGAAATTGTAGGAAAATAAATTTCAAGTCTCTAGCTATATCTTCTGAGATCGACGCGTTCAAACATACTGACAGACGGACAGACGGACGGACGGACAGACAGACAGACGGACAGAGCTAAATCGACTCAGCTCGTCGCCCTGATCAAGAATATATTTTATGGGGTCAGCCACGCCTCCTTCCGTTGTTACATACATTTAACAAAACCATTATACCCTGATTTCCCATTTTCAATGGGTTCAGGGTACACAAAATCTATAGCACTATTAATATGACATCTACATCTACACCAACACACATCGGATTACTTTGGTAAATTTATAGCTTTATAATTATAGCTTTGTTTACATTATGCATTGCTCTTACATTGTTTTCTTAATTTCCAACAAAATATACAGTTGCGGGACAATTAGATCTGAAAGTAATATAAAAAAAAATATTATTATTGTTAAATAAATTACCACTGGCGTGAACACAATTTGCAAATACATATACATTGGTCTCCATTTTGGTATAACTTTAAGAAAAACTAAATTTCAAATAATAGTTGAGTTTTGTTGATCTCGACCATTGACCCAAAAACTAAAAACGAGTAAGAAAGCTCTAGTCGAGACTGCTCGACTACGAGATCCCCTGAACCCTTGGAGCACTAGCTATTTCAATCATTTTTCGCGTCTTTCAGCTTACACAAGAAACACACGCACTCACACACACAGGCATACATACACACACACGCATCAGAGTTGGAGTTGCGTTTTCGTGGAGTGCGGTCGATGTTATTGTAATCCATCGTTGACTATAGCTTGTTCCGATGTTTTCTTTCCCTGCGAAAGTGGGAAAAACTAAAGAAACGTGTATGCTGTGGCCGAGACGTACCCAGCGACTTCAAAAACTACCAGAGACTTACTGCGCGTCGGTTCGTGGACTGCCCCAGCGGTGGAATCCAGTGGTGCAAGAGAGGGGGGGCAATAGCGTCATTGTTTTGGCGTCAGGGCTTCCCTCTTTCCTTTTCTTTTAAGCGCGAAAAAATTTGTAACTTTAGGCGTCACACTTGTGCAAATAATAAATATCAGGTGCACTCACTCTAACAGCTGTTGGTAACTCTGCAAATTGCAGCGGACTATCAGCTGCTCACTAACATTGGTGAGTTGCTAAGTCCTAGCAAAGACAGCAACCTAGCGGCTGGAGTGAAGTAGCAGTTATTAGAAGTAGTGCATACTTTCGGGCTCTCACTGTAGTTAAGCTGAGTTTAAGTTACTGCGGTCTTTAAACTCAAGTTTTATTAGTAGCCATTGCCCACTACAGGCTTCACGCCGTGGTAGTCGGAGAAAAAATGGATGCCATGATGGAGGAAGAGCTGCAAGCTTTCGCGCGCCGTTCCTCGTTGCAGCGATCGCCGCAGCAACAATAGAGGGCGTTGCCGCAGCCGTTGACTTCTAATCAGTCCCCAATAGTTGAGTGCCAGGCACCCGTCACTAAAAGAAACGTTAGCCCAAATAAGAGTTACCCTTATTTGGGGGTCGGCGGCATATAAATGCCTCAATGAGAGAGGAGCTGGCTAGTCTGGTTAATCTCCACAAGACGGCCGAAGCGTTCTGTAACCGACCGGTTAAAAGCTGCGAGGTACAGACCAAGCCGGTCAAGAAAGTAGTGGAGAAAGCTAGCACTAGAGCGATTACAGATAGCAATACGCCCAAGCCCAAGCCTATGCAAAAACGTCCCAGAACTGACGCAATTGCGATTTCAGGCGTAGGTGGTTGTAGCTATGCGGACATATTGCGTGTAGTCAAGAGCGACCCAAATTTAAAGCATCTGAGCGGCGACGTTCAAGGCATTAGGAAGACAGCTAAGAGGGACCTTTTGTTGCAATTGAGTAGGAAACCGGAGCATAGCGCTGAGGCTCTGCACGAAGCTGTAGGCAAGGCCTTGGGCGACCGAGCGGTAGTTAAGACACTTTCCGAATCGGCTCAAATTGAGATTCGTGATTTAGATGAGTTAGCGAGCAAAGAGGAGATCTTTGAGGCAATTAGGGTGGAGTTGAAGGATAGCTCACTCCCCTATTAAATCACTTCGACCAGCTTTTCGTGGACAGCAAAGAGCTACGGTTGCTCTTTCAATTGGGAAAGTTAAAACTCTGCTCAAGCTGTCCAAAATCAGAATAGGATGGGTAGCCAATTGCGTCAGCGACTGTGACCTAAAGGGCGCCTGTTTCAGGTGTGGTGAGATGGGTCACAGTGCAAAAGCATGCACCAAGCCCCCAAAGTGTAGCCTATGCGTCCGGAAAGGTGAAAAGCAGCCAGAAATGTTAAGGTTTCTTCAGCTTAACAGTCCATAAGAGAAAAATGTATAGACGTAGCCTTTCTAAGTGAGCCTCATCACTGTAGGTCCTCCTGCTATAGAACATGGGCAAAAGACGCAAATGGCAAAGCTTTGTTGGGGGTATATGGCAACTCAGCGAATGTACTTTCGGATGTTAAGTCATTCAATGGGCTCGTACGAGGCCGATATGGTAACTTATGGCTCTACAGTTGCTATCTGGCTCCCAGCATGCAGTTCAGTGATCTCACAACGGTGCTAGACGAGCTTGCCGAGGATGCTAGGGGTTGGAAGGCCATAATAGCAGGAGATTTCAAATCATGGGCGTCAGAATGGGGCAGCCACACAACAAATGCCAGAGGCCGTATCCTACTGGAGATCTTCGCAACACTAGATGTATACTACTGATGTAGATTGCACTGCTCAACACTGGCCACGAGTTCACCTTCAGTCGGATACGGATCTGTAATTGACATTACTTTTGTCACTTCATCCCTCTTTCGGGAAGCAACATGGAGCCATTGCGATAGCTATACGGGCAGCGATCATACGGCACTTCTGTTCACAATAGGTGAGCCAACTGCCAGGGCGTCAACCTTGCGGAGAGAATCGTATCGGCTGGATACTTTTGAACCCGCGGTCTTTTCAGAGGCTATTCAGTCTCTGAGCACAATTTGTAATGCTGAGGCCAGAGCATCCCAAATGGTAGCCCAAATTCAGAGTGCCTGCAATAGGAGCATGTTACGTCGCAAACATTTCACGCCACAGCAGGAGCCTATGTATTGGTGGAATGTACAAATAGGTGACATTCGACGCAAATGCTTCCATGTGACAAGAAACTATCAACGGGCTCGCGGTAGGTCTACGTTTTTCGAAAAACAATTAGCTTACCAGGCCGCCAGAAGACAGTTGAAGAAGGCCATTCGGGCAAGCAAACGAGAATGCTTTCTAGAGTTGTGCGACTCAGCCGAATATGACCCTTGGGGCAGGGCATATAAGATAGTAGTTAAAAGACTATACTCAGGTAGTCAGGTGCAGCCTACGGATCGCTTGGAGCTTAAATCGTTTGTGGAAACGCTCTTTCCAGAAAGATTAAGCTCCATTCATGCCCCGGACTCCGAGTCTGCTAATCAGGGCCCGGCAAAATGGAAGACCCAGAACCTGGTATTGCTACCCAAGGCTGGCAAACCACCAGACGAGCCATTTTCATACAGACCGATCTGCCTCTTAGACACCATAGGAAAGGTGTTTGAGAAATTGATCTGCTCTAGACTGGAGACTGCTATTGCTAGCGCCGGAGGCCTATCACCAAATCAATTTGGATTCCGGAAGGCCCGGTCAACAACGGATGCTCTAGAAAAAGTTGTTGGCCTGGCAACTTCCGCCATCCAAGGCACCAGATGGAGGCACGGGACGAAGCAATACTGCATCATCGCGACCTTGGATGTTAAGAACGCCTTCAACACAGCTAGTTGGGATATGATACTGAATGCGCTGTCACAATATAATATCCCTAAATATCTAAGAGATAATAAAGAGCTACTTCAGAGGAAGAACACTGGTATACAACACGAGTGAGAGTCCCCAAACTCTTACAGTGTCAGCTGGAGTACCCCAAGGCTCAATGCTGGGGCCTCTCCTATGGAATATCATGTACGACGGCGTGCTGCGCTTGGAACTACCAGCAGGTGCGCACACCATTGGCTTTGCTGATGATGTAGCCGTCGTCGCCATAGTCAAGGTGCTTAAAGATACTGAGGATATGTGCAGTGTAAGTATCAATCGCATACGAAGCTGGTTGACAGGAGCTGGGCTCGAGCTAGCGGCACACAAAACCGAAGTCGTCCTAGTCAACAGTCGCAAAAGAGTGGAAACTGCCAATATAAAGATCGGCAGCGTCACCATTGCATCAAAGAGGGCGATAAAGTATCTTGGTGTCATGATAGACACAAGATTAACTTTCCGCGAGCACTTAGAATATGTGCATAAAAAGGCAGCTGATTCTTGTAGAGCTCTCTCAAGAATTATGCTTAACACGCGGGGACCAAAACAGCAACGACGTCTCCTTCTAATGAGCGTCATTAGGTCCGTCATCCTCTATGCTGCGCCAATATGGGCAAGAGCGATGGCAACGCCGAGCTACAATCGGGGCATTTGTGCCATCTACAGACTGAGCGCAATCAGAGTCTGCTGCGCATTCAGAACAGTCTCTGACGACGCGGCGCTCGTCATAGCCAGCATGGTGCCTCTGGAGGACTTAGTCGCCGAAGCCGTGGAACGGAATGCACACGAGCCTATACGCCGCAACGATATCAGAGCGAACAGCATTGCACGATGGCAGAGAAGGTGGAACAGCTCAACTAAAGGGCGGTGGACACATACTGAGCTTGAGCCATGGATAACCCGCAAACACGGCGAAGCTAATTTTTATCTTTCACAGATTCTATCGGGACATGGATGCTTTCGGAGCTGCTTGAAGCGCTTTGGCCACGATGAAACCGACGAATGCTCTTGGTGCGGACGAGGTCTGGTGGAGAGCGCCAACCACATCTTATTCGAATGTGGACGCTTCCTAGAGGAGAGGCGTCGTCTGGAAGAAGCATTAGGCCGCTCTATTAGAGCGGACAAAATGGTCAACGTGATGTTGGAATCGGAGGCAGCTTGGAAGCTTAAAAGCACCTTCGCGACCACAATCATGATGGAGCTTCGCAGAATCGAGCGAAGACGAGCTGTCCCAAGCTAAGGGAGTGCAAATAGCTTGCGAAGCAATGCTTTACGGCCGTCCCGCAAGCATCGTGCATAAACTCATATTGTAAAAGTTTTTAATAAAAGAATATAAAAACAAGTCGAGACTGGTCGACTAGGAGATACCCTGAGCCCTCTAATCTGATATTCTAATCACTCTGGACTTCTTTTCTGCACACATACATACACACGCACGTATTAGAACGCGCTCTGCTAGCTGCTCAGTAATCAGCGACTGCGCGTGGGCTGCGCTGCAGTGTGGGCAACATTATAAGGATTTATTTGTTGAATAATTTAATTGCTAGACGTACTATCTTAATAAAACTTTCAGAAAAAAATCATAATGTATGTACA